ATACGAATAAGAATAAGAAAGAATAAGAATAAATAATAGTAAAACCAACGATAACAAAAAGTTGATAATAAAGGTATAATAACATAAAATAAGCGCAATTGCAAATATCTCAAGAGAAAAAAAACACAATACATTTTTTAATTCAAGATAAAATGACTATTGGAAACATTAAGAAACTTTTCAAGAGTAATTCTCAATCTGAACCTGAACCTGAACCTGAACAGTTACCACCTCATATGTCTGTTCAAAACCAAAGAGCTTTAAATCAAGTAGTATTTTCTGTTACTGAAGATGACTCAACTCTTCTTGAAGTAACTGATCCTGCAGCTTCTACAACCCCTGCTTTTAATACTATTCCAAACGTTAAAGATATCTTCAGATGGAGATACAACTATGGTGTAAATTTGGGTTCATGTTTCCTTTTGGAATCTTGGATATACTCTGATCTTTTCGAAAAAGGTGGTGCTTCTGAATTAGATGCTATTAATAGGAATTTAACCGCTTTTGGTGTAGATGTTACTGCTCAAAAGCTATCGTCACACTATACAAATTACATCTCCACCTTGGATTGGAATTGGTTGAAGAATAATGCTAATATAACAGCTTTAAGAGTACCTATCGGTTATTGGCACGTAAATAATGGCCAATTTGTTGATGGTACTCCATTTGCTCCATTAAAATCAGTTTATCAAAAAGCTGCTCCATGGGATAAATTAAAAAATTTAATTTACGTGGCTAAACAATATGGGATCGGAATACTAGTAGATGTCCATGGTCTTCCAGGTGGAGCTAATAGTTCTGATGCTAGTGGATCTATAAATAATCCGCCTACTTTTTTCAAAAACCCAACATATATCAGTAAGATGGTGAACCAAATCTTACCATTCATTGCAAGAGATGTTTGCATCAACAATATAAACGTCATAGGTTTACAAATAGTAAATGAAGCAGATACGAACAATACACCAGTCAACGAACACAACTATTACTTGAGATCGGCTAAGGCAATAGGTGCTATCGATCCTCAATTGCCTGTTGTAATTTCAGATGGATGGTGGCCAGAACAACAGGGTACATGGGTTCAGCAAAACAATTTGGTTTCAACTGTAGTAGTGGATGCACACATATATAGATGTTTTTCATCTTCTGATAAATCCAAGACTGCCCAACAGATTATCAGTAGTTTAAATTCGACTGTTAATTATCCTTCGAAATCAGCAGATTTCCTCACTGGTGAATTCAGTTGTGTTTTAGATGAACAAACGTGGAATCGTACATCTGGTAATCGTGCTGATTTAATAAAACAATTTGGTCAAACGCAGGTTGCAATATTTTCTCAAGTTTCAAGTTGGGGTTGGTTCTTTTGGACTTTGAAATTTCAAATAGGTAATGGTGGTGAATGGGGGTTTGTTCCTCAAGTGAGTAAAAATAATATCCCAAGAAGACCTCAGGGATCTGGTATTACTATAGATTGGGGGAAAGTTCAAAGGATATACCAAGATCATATAAATTATTGGAAAGGTAAAGGATCTTATTTCGAGCATTGGAGATTTGCAGATGCTATATACAAGGCGGCATCTGATGTCCAAACATTCTCTCAATATGGAAATTCAAGAATTGGTAGAACATTATCCTGGACCAAACTACGTAGAGGACAATATATTGCATTGAAGGGAGATAGTTCTTATATGTGGGAATGGGATCAAGGTTACCAAAAAGGTTTGGATGAGTTTAATAAATATTAAAGAAATAAAGAACTTACAAATGATAGTATCTATTTTTTCAGATCAACAGATATGGACTAATAAATGGAAGAATACATGTACAAGTTTATTTTTGCTCCCATTTCATTTAAATTTATATAATTAGGTAATTTAATATTATTTTTTTGGTTTGCTCATGAAATTTAAAATCAGAACAGTACAATTTGAAAAATGCCTAATTCAAAACTAATTATTTTACTGGAATAATATCACTAGATCAAGGATTTTGATTCTATTGATTGCCTTTTTTTTTTAATTTAGGAAATATGACTAGAACCAATAAAGTTTCTTTTCTATAATTATATTTATTCCAAAAGAACCAATTACACTATGATGATATAATTAATTAGCTGACACCTTGGTACTTTATATAATCAAGTGACATTGAGATAAATTTGCACAGCTTATGTGGAGAAGGTTTATGATTACAAAATAGCAAAAAATACTCCGCGACGGGGAATTGAACCCCGATCTGGCACGCGACAAGCGCCCATTCTGACCATTAAACTATCGCGGAAATTGAGAAGAAGAAACAAAGCACTCACGGTGGGGGTCGAACCCACAATCTTCTGATTAGAAGTCAGACGCGTTGCCATTACGCCACGCGAGCTTAATTTCTTGGAAAACTTTTCAGAAAATATAACAACTGATATACAAACTTGAATCCCAAAATTCACATGATATTTTCCAAATGTTTTGATTGATCATTTCAGAATGGTAAGGTTTTAGTTATTATCCAATTATAGACATTTTAACCTAAAATATAGTGAAATTTGCTGATATTGGTTATTTGTGTTTTTCTTATTAAAGCGATATCATCATGTGTCACGAGTGTTTGTTCGAATGGGAAAAGCTTCAACGCATCTCAAAGTATATAAGAACCTTATGTAATATACTATAATAGGTAACTATGTATCAAACTAAAAGAACGATCCAGTTATCTAGTAAAAGAATGAACAACATGACTGCGAGTAATCCTATAACCCAGTATGGTAGCGCTGCTGAAACTAAGGCAATAATGGATGACAGCTTTGATCTCATTCAGAGCTTAGAAGAACAGATCCGCCAGAACAAGAAAGAACAAAAGCTTGTCTGGACTAATAATAAACTAAATAATACTGAAAAACTAAAACAATTCGAAACATTATTTGACGAACTTCAACAAACAATAAGATTAATTGACAATATTAACAATGTACAAAACAACAATTCTGAGAACATACCAGCGTTAAAAGTTGAAGGACTTGAGAATGCTGTATACAATCAAAACTCCATTAATAACATAACAATTAAAACAGAACATGAAAACATACCAGTAACAGCAGTTGAAAGAACTGAAAAGACTGTCTATAATAACAAAAACAAACCCCGAGCTGAAATCAATGCAGAAATGGATATCAACCTTGAACTCATTCAGATCTTAGAAGAACAGATCGACCAGATCAAACTTCAACAAAAGAATATTTGGTTAAAAGCTAATGTCGACTACAAAATTAAAATTAAAGAAACTAGAGAATTGATGACTGAGATCAAAGATATCAGAGAGCTCATCCAGGATTTTAAAAATGAATATAATCAAAAATCAAATATTAATAATATAATTGAAATAACAACCAACATTAATAACAGCAAAAACAAAACCCAAACTGAAATTAAAAATTACAAAAAATCATCTGATTACCCTTTTGAAGAACTTAATCAATATGATGAAGTAAACTTCATCGAATATAAGGATGAAAATGGTGGCCATTTTTTATGAAGTGTTAACCAAAAACAACCAAAAGACGAAATTCTTTTATAAATACTCGACAGCCAAACTTGATTACAAGTTGGACAATATAAATGAATTTTACAAATGGGTAAAATCGTTGAGAGAATTCACTTATCATTGGAAGTTTCATGATATCACTACCATTCTCGACCCTCTGGCATTGACTTCAGAAGAAAACTATATTGTAAAAAATGCAATAAAGAAAAGTTTGAATAATACATTGAAGAATAGCATTGAATATGAATTTTACGCAGTGGATATGTACAACAGTTTAAAAAGTGAATTCATGGATAAATATTCATCAGGATACAAAAAAAAACTATGGAGGAATACATATGTGGATTTGTATTGTACAGACATAATTGGTATGAAAAACAGATTTATTAAACTAATCAACATCGAATACTATAGTACTGATACGTCAATGTTACCTATTTTCACGAATAGCTATTTCATATCAAAGATACAGACCTGTTTACATCCATTCTTACTAAACGAAATCACCAGAGTACTTTTAGAACAATTGACAGAAACAAGGGGAACCATTAAATTGACACCGTTTAAATATGTAAAATTGATTTCAGATACTATAAGAGATAACAGATATATGCAAAATCTGTTTGAGGTAGAAATCCGGAAATGTAGTCATTGTGATTCAACCTTCCATAGTACCAAAAATTGCAACTCAAGGGCAGCAATTAATCTTAGGCAGAATGAATAGGGAAGAATAGAACACGAGTAAAGTTGTTTTACATACTGCAGAATCAGGTCTAAAGCACAATGATCAGACAATTAAAAATGCCAACATGATAGAAACCATAAAAAAGAATGAAAATAAGAACCAATTGCAATATAAACACAACAAAAGTTGACGACACAGTCTGGGTACCAGCGAAAGAACTGATACACGATTATCACTGAAAGAAGAAAACTAAAAAACTCAGAGCGGTTAGACCACCAAATTTCAAGGCCCAACGGCCTGAGATATCACTACTCGAAGCGCACTTGAGATTAAATCATTTAACATCTCAAGTTATTCAAGAATCTGTCAAGAATAACACTTTCTATGATCTTGATAAGATTAAGGAACTTAAAACGAACAAAAACCTTTGGTGTCAGACATGCAATACTGAAAAAATGACGTGAAATTTCCATTATACAGATACGATGAATCATTACTCAAGTATTAAAGAACCTGGTTTATCATGGAGTCTGTATACATTGGGACCTGTTAAACTAACACCTGCAAATCATGACAAATATATGCTAATGATGATTGATAATATTTCGAGATACATTTTAATCTCTACTAATAACAGTATGGATATGATCCCTTTTACCGCACATATTGAAAAGAATATTAAGTATATTCAAACTCAATTTGGTCGTGGAGTTCAAGAACTGATCATGGATCGCGGGAATGAATTTGACAACCTTGAAATGATTGATCTTTGTGCTGAATATGGAATATAACGAATATTCACCTCAGCACAAGATCACTCAACAAACACCAGGGCAGAATGGGGAATTACAATAATTATTACGGACATTAGGACGCTATTTATTCGGTCTAGGGTGCCTCTCAAATACTGGAATTTTGCTGCAAAAGCTGCAGTTAATGTCAGAAAGTGTACTTACAAAATGAAGACGAAAAATGCTCCTTTAAGTGTCATTTCAAAATATGCGTTAAAAATTATGCTACATAGTTTCATATTTTTTGGTGCACAAACTGTTGTGTAGCAACATAATAGCAGAAAGGCACAACCTCCTAGAGTTAATGCAATTATGCTATGCAAAGATCAAAACAGTTTTGGATATTAAAGAAAGTGGAATCCATGAAATACCAATTGAAATATATGCTGAAATGGAAAGAGATATATTAAAAGTAACAGAACAAAAAGAACAGCAGGTATTCTAACCATCAACACATAATAATTATATAAATAAATGCAAAGAATTAGAAGAAAGCAATGATTCAAAACATTTAGAGATCTTGGTGGAGAATCTTTAAAAAGAGAAGGTGGATATTGTCAAAAACTTTTCGATTTCCCCTATTGGATTTAATATCACATTCTATGATCCTTCCGTCTTATCAAGAATATTTTGATGATTAGCTTCTATAAAAGATGGCGACTTATCATACCTGAGGGATGAATGTCTTATTTAATGTAGTTGACTCTGTATTTTCTTCATTTAAAGGTTGAATATTTAATTCTTCAAATCCCTCCTCTTCTAAACTTTTTACAATATCCATCTCTGCTATTGCTTCTCGTGATTGCACTCGGATGTCTTCTTGACCTAGTCATTCAAATTGGTATTTCATGGAATATATACACTTTCTTCAATATATAACATTTCATCTTCTTTTGTTCCATTATCATTAACCAATTTATAAATTGAAAAAGTGTACACACATATTAAGGCGATAGTAATATGAAGTTACCAACACCCTGTTATCTCTAATCTATACTCTTTGTAATCTATCAGAAGAAAGAAATCAACGTTTAACTAGAACTAGATTCAAGAGATCATATATAATTTCAAATATGCTGCACTGACCTTATACTGTAGTTATTGAAAAATAAATTACCATTTTAGAGAATTTCTTTAGAGCAAATCTACTTATCATTAATATAATACCTGTCAACAAGATAGAACAATTTACTAAATAATCAGTCATGTAGTAGATTTCGCTATTAAAACTAATTTCATAATATAAGCATTATAGCGTCTCTTTTATCATTAAATAATTATTAAACAATAATTATATCATTATCTATAGTGTTATGTGAAGGAACGCTCACTATAAATGAGTTAAAACGTACGGAGTGTCCTTGAAATGCATTTATTTTATTCTATTGATTTCTCAATGAACTTATAAAATCTATTGGAATAATTTTGAGGAGGTATGGCACTTATTACTTTAAGATCGTGATTTAAAGATCTCCAAACAGTTTCTAATCTTTTTACAATCGAATAGTTCGTCAAACAGTCGATAACACCAATGTAATATATGACACTCAGGTTATTATCTTGATTATCAGAGGCTAAAATACCACCTTCGTCCCTTTTAAAATAGTTAAAATTCGAGTTATTAATGTAATATAACTGAGCCTCTTCTTTTAACTTTTCTTTAACTGGTTCATCAGTTTCAACATCACCATCTAAATCGTAAATCCCTATTAAGAGCGAGTAATCCATTACATTCATTGTATTTAGTAAACTTATGTCTCTTTTTAATTGCTGTAGAAAGACTCTTTTCTTTAAAGGTCCAAAAAGTATTTTTTCCTTTTGATGGAGCCAGTTTAAGTCTTTTAATACATTCGAACTTTCGGATTCATTTTCATCTTTATTCTCATCCTTAGTAACGCTTGTAATGCGACCCCAGGTCGAACCTTTCAAGTCATATGTTTTTTGAATTGGTAAATGAGGAGGAAAAACATTATTCATAACGACCAAATAAATCTTTCTGTTTCTAATAACATTCTCAAATGATATTGGTAATTTTATTCTATGCAATCCATAAAACTGACATATCAGAGTATCAGGATTGTCTGAAATATGCTGATAATATATCTTTAAGTTCTTCCTTAAATGTACATGTTCAGAATGATGAACTGTTTTGATGATATACCTATAATCTCTTGAAAAATAAAAGAAGGAACCACTTTTCCCAGGAGAATTTAACTCGTTCATTATATGCTTCGAAGTCAAGGAAATTAAATAATCTTTTGAGTCAATTCCAAAATTTTTTCGTAGATGGTTAAAGACATTTGGAGAATAATCCTTAAATTTAAACATATATTGATTTGAAAAAGATTGTACATTTTCTTCGCCTGAGTAATCAAAGGCAAATTTTTTATCTATATTAAAATCTGTAATTGTTAATTTTTTATCTTCCATTTTTGTATCAATTGCTTTTAAACCTGCGGTTTTAATACCGGTTAGCATATTATCTGCAATAATAAAATTAACATGTTTCCCATTTACTTTATTTTGAAACATTTTTCTTTCTTTCTTAAGGACATAATTTGAAATATCACTTCTTTGTGATTTTTTCCTCTGGGCTAATCGTTCATTCATTTTCTTAATTTCTGAAATTGCCAGTTCAGAATTTTTAGATAATCTTTTATCATTATTGTTATTATTGTTTGAGTTATTTCTTGATTTAAGTATTACAGGCAATGAATGCGTTGAAGGATCTTTATCTTTATTAAAATTTTCCCCATTTCTCTTGGAAGTGAATGAATTATTTACCATTGAAGGCAATGATAGAATAGAATTGCTTGCCTCTAATAATAGATCTTCATTTATATCTAAAAGTTGTAATGGCGATACAGGTAAAATTTGTGAATGGTTATTTGCCCTGAACGGTATATATTTAATTAAGGAGTCCTGAGTAATCGTTCTTCTTGCACGTAATAAAGATTTTGAATTTTGGTCATTTGCTAATGAAATATCACTTGAATCTTGTCCATACAAAGATACACTTAAGGAACTATCATTATCTTCAGTTCTTTGTAAGTCTGATTCATTAGTAGTGGGTGTCGATAACTTGCTAGCCCATACTTGATGATGGTGTATTATTTTATTAGATAGATCATCCTCTATATCGATGAACTGGTTGTTATTGATATTGTTGTTGGTATTGTTATTGCTATCAATTGCATGAAAATTGTCACTCGGCACCATTTTATGAACATCTATCTACGACTGAGCCAATATCAATCTTGCAATAGAACAAAGGTAAGTATATCAACAGATGGATTGTAAAATAACTGTAAACAGTTTTAAGAATCTCAAAACCAATGAGCAAAGAAAAATAAAATAATAAATATACTAAAACACAACGAACAGTAAGACTTAGCAAAAACAAAACCAATATTTGATCCAGATCAAATATTAGAAATCAGATGGGTTCTTTAGATATGGGGATTATGGGGGGGTGGAACTGACTAAATAAATAATTAATCAAATGAACAAGCAAAATTGAAATATAAAAAGAATCCAACTCAAACCTGAACGTAGATTAAAATCCTATCTAACAACAGATTAAATAGAATAATTCAATTAATTGATGATAGATATTAAACGTAATGAAGTGGCTAGTATCTCAATCACTATACTACTATAAAAAGATGGAAATTTTGAAAAATTATCATCAATTTCCCCTTTGAAATTCGAATCGAACAAACAAAGAGTTTTACCAAAACTGGAAAATACAGATGTAAAATGTAATGCAATTTCGAAACGAATAAGGTTTGGTTAGCTTCTCTTACCAGTTGTAGTGAAATTTTTTCTGACGTTGTATTGAATGGAAGGTAAGGTAAGGAAAGGGAAGGGAAGCGAAGGGAAGCGAAGGAGATGGAGGATGTTGATGATGTGGTAATGAAAAATTGATTCAAAAAAGGAAACGTAAAGGGAAGAAGTTAAAACGACAAGGAAAAGATGAATTGGGATAGATATAGGCAATAAGAGAGAGAGACCCACGTCCACACACAATAAATAGGAAATGGCACTGCAGGTAAAGAAAAGGAATGGAGGGAGAGGGAGGTAGAGGAAAGTAGAGAGACAGTGGTACCAGAAAGTAAAATAGACTGAAGCGAATGGATAGATTGCAAAAATAAAGAAATTGATTTTAACAATCAATGGATCGATCTGTTAACCAATTGTTCTTGATTTTTAATCTTGAATTTTTAAACAATACAAAATTGTTTAAAAATACGATACTGTCCTTAACTTAACGTATTGAGATGCAGACCCTATGTACCTTCTTTCTTCTTTTTTAGAATTGACAGGAAAAATAATAATAATGTAGTATTAAACTGGATAGCAATTGTTTGACTAAGACCAATTAATGCATGCATGCAGTTTCGATCTTATTTTTTTTTGAATTTATTTTTGAAGATTCAAGATTAGTAACTGAGCTAAGCCTTTTCGAGATATAATGATGATTAGTTTGGTTGGATTTAGATACTATTACTTGTTCATATATTAAAGGTAAAAGTTTCGAAATGACATGAGTCGATATTTTAAAGAACCTAGAAACATCAACAATCGTAACGAAAATTTTAGATATTTGTGGAGAAACCCACATTTATGATAAGCCAACCAAATTTGATCAATTCCATCTAAGATTCAATTTCACAGTGTTAAATTGAAACATTAGAGGTTATTTCTCCTAGTAATTAGTTAGTTCTTGGTATAACCCAAATTAATTGAGTCGACTCTCTGAGTTGATTTGAACAATTTTAGATGATTTATTTCCCGCTTGGCTATTTACTTGCTCTAGTGTATTTAATTGAACACAGAAATTGCCATATAAGAGGGCTTTTTTTTTGATATAAGAATCAATAATTTATAGTATTATCGCTTGCTTATTCAGATATGTACTACTCATTCTTCCGCTAGTTTCCCACACATTATAGCATTCATTATCGATATTATTGTAAGCTATTATTTGTCGTGATGATAGCCATTTAAATACTTGATTTTGTTTTCTCAGATTATTTCCTTCATTATAACTAAATCTAGTGAATTAGATGATTCAGACCAAGAAGACTAGTTATATAATTTCATCGTAGAACCCACCGCGTAATGGGAGGACGTATCTTGGATGTGAATAACTACTGTTTTATTTAGTTCTAAGACGTTCAATCAATGATATTAAAATCATATTCTAATATAAAAGAGAATACTTGCCAATTGTATTGACAGTTTAGGTTAGTTCTCGATTATAACTTCAAGACAGTCAATATTTAGTGTTAAAAACTATTCTTATTCGAAAATAATCGATTTTCCCTTTCTTGATTTCAAAAGAAAGCATACAGAATTCGAATCATCCTAAGTTTAACTAACTCATCGTCATCATCGTTTTAGTTCCAAAGTATTTATTTACTTCAGTAGGTATGAACCAATTTTCGAAAACGTTATATCGAGAGTACTACAACCAGTTATGGCAGATATATATAAGACGCAATCATATAAGGTGATACATCACGTAATTTGGTTATGTAATAAAAACGTTGAAATTAAAGAAAAAAATTGTTCCATTAAGGGAAATATTAACTAAAAAGTAGTAGATTATACCATCGTTGAAATATTTGTTGGCAGACCTTTAATGTGGGTTGGAAGGTCGGTTTAGTTCTAAATTAAGAATAATTAAATTCAAAGTCTTACGGATCTTTCATGACATCTAGAGATAGATCTAATTTAGAAATTGACTTTTCAAGATCAGATTTAAAAAGGAAAAGGGCAAACTTTAATCGATTGTTGAATTCTTTGGAGTGTACTTATACTTGCGTAGTAACCCTCCCAATTAACCAAATCAAGTTTATTCCGTTAGTCGACATATTCTATAAAGAATTTTAATTGCCTCTTTTTGCTTAATCTTTGTAATGCTAGTTAGTATGTAGTCAATTTGTACTCTTGTAACATCAACGATGAAAAGTACATGTAAATTAGCTATGTAAAAAATGAGCAGTTACAAGAAGCCTTGTTTATTATTGGTTAAGTTTGAATCAAATATGTACCATTTTCTGGAATCTATTTGCAAGGTGTGTGAATTTCATACCAGAAGAGAATTCTAGTAACAAATAATGATAGCAACATCAATAAAATCCATCCAAGTGAACAAGAATATTTAAATAGTTTTTATTCTGTTACTATTTCCATTGTTTCTAATATATCAGATTCCGTTATATAGTAGTATTTAGCAGTAGTAAAAAACTTTTCTAATGTATAAAATAAATCTGAACAATTCATAGTCTCGCCCGTATAACAACAGAGACGATCCCTAATGCTCGTATATTTCCCATACGAACGTCTACAAAGAGAAAAAGAATGAATTTAGCCGCCCAATCCACCAAGAACATACCATAACACAACATATCGGAATGGAATGGAATGGAGCGGAGCAGATCAGAACCGCATTTCAAACTCCGCCGACAGACCACACACGTTACCCTCCTTGCCATTCCAACAATCAATCATCTCCAAAACAAACCACGGTACACTACACTACACGTTGTTGTTCCGCCACCAAATAAATTCATGCCAATCTTGCTTATCCAATTTTGTCGCTGGAGAACGACGCGGCAGCAACGAAAATAAATAAACAATAAGTGGTACATTGTATGTATATCGCATATTCTGATAAAATTAGGAAAATAACGCGTAATGAACGAATGAATGAGATGTACCCGAGAGGGACAGAATAAAGGATACATCATCATCATCATCATCATCATCATACATATAGCTAATGATAGACCAGACACACAAACAAACAAGGTTGAGACTGGGAATAAGACTAGTTGGTGCAAGAGTTTCATTTCTTTTCTTCCTTGAGAACTGAAACTTACATGCGACTGAACCCACCACTATTTAGTTCATCGCTTAACTTCTGAGCTACAAGAATAAAAAAGTTGAAGTATCTCAAGTTTGTAGAATGATGATTTGATTTGATTTGATTTGATTTTGAAGGGAGAAAAGGGTAGTGAGCAATGAGAAGTTGATAGATGAACCGCCATGGCATTTGATATTGGCATTGATTAGGTAGACTGAGTGTGTGAACTTGTGTATTGTTCTTTTTCTAGATAGAGTTGCGATAGACAAAAAAAAAGAACAATAAAAATAAAATAAAATCAAAACGCTAATAGGTTAGGCTTATTTTGTAAACTTTCTTGATTGTTAACTGTATGTTTCTGTTGATGGGCAAGAATATAAGAGACCTTTATTTTTTTTTTTTAATTTTCTTGGATTTAGTACAAAAAGGAAAGTAAGATTTCTTCCAGTCAATGAATCTTTTCTATCTTTTAATGTCTTCTTTTTTTTTTATTTTTTATTTTTTATTTTTTTAATTAGACTTGACTATAGTATTGTTATATAAGAAGGAGCACGTAATTTCTCATAATACAGGGAAAAAGAATAAGTGAAAGGGAGGGGAGAATAGAGAGTGTTTGGGGACTGTATATCATTATATATTTACTTTTTATTTATTATTTCTATTGTACTTTAAATTCTTTTATTTATCATTTATCATTTATCATTTATCATTTATCATTTATCATTTTTAATTTATATCCCCTAATTGTCAAGGACGATTTCTTTAGATCATGGTATCTTCTATGATCGACAATAGTGTGATTAACATGTGTATAACTTCTGATTCTGATAGTGATACTGGGGTGAAGTCCAGGTCCAGATCACGGTCAGCATCGATGCAAGATCCGTTGTTAGCACCATTACATGATGGTGGTAAGATGGGAATTGAAAAAAACACCAATAATGCAACGAGTACAAAAATACAGGGAAACAAGACTATCACACATAATAGCGGTGATATCCATTCTGTGAAATCATCCTTTGATGACAATCCTTTACTCGCCATTACCAAACCCACGTTTGCGCCGAACAACACGCCGGTACAAAGCCCACCAATTTCATCTCCAGATATCATCAATAGCACTATCAGTTGCACCAATACGAATTCTAGTAATTCCACTACATCTTCATCAGCAGTTGAGCAACAGCAACAGCAACAACCGTTTACTTCACCAACTGGCCATACTAATTCGAACAACCACGATGTCTCAGCTTTACGTCGTTTCCCTCCTTCAAACGCATCATCTTCTTTCTCGATACCGTACTCACTCGACAGTATGGGAAAACACCAACACCAACCAGCATCACCAGAACAAGAACAAGAAGAGCTGCAGTCATCGGTCACTGCTGTTAACACCACCGCCAACGCCAACAAGAACGCCACCGCCACCCTCAACACAAGTGCCGTCAGAGACAACACTGCAGAAATAACACCCCCTGGCGGCACGCAGCCGCCAAGATCGTCGTTGCTCGGCACAAAAAAATCAACAAAACCACAAACCCAAACCCACCGCAATAGGAGCAACAGCAACAACAAGAACAACAACAAGAACCACGACGAAGAACAAGAACAAGAACAAGAACATGAACATGGTGAATTTGTTATGGTGGGAAAAAATGATCGTTGTGGCGGTCACGACGCTACCAAGGGGGCTGCAGTCTATAATGGCGGGAAAATTTTTCCCCCAATTGGCTTTGTCGTTACAAGTGGTGCGTGTGACAGTAAGAATAATCCAGCAGCCGTTGTTGGAAACAATTTTGTAAAACGCAAAAACGGTCACATGCAGTCATTTGTCACGAGCGACAGCGGCAACGATGATGACGACGACGAAGACGAAGACGAAATCGAAGTTACAGGTAAAGTTCAGGATAATGTTCGAACTAATCAAAATGGTGATACAATAAGTGAGGGTATGGTTAGGCAACATATTTCTACTGTTAAAGAGGTTCCTGATATTCACTTGTTGCGTTTAAAGGCTAATAACACAAGCGAACACAGATCTAGAGTGTTTTCTACTCCTGTTGTTATTATGGGCGATAACGCTGACTCGATCAAAAAGGATATTCTAGATTCCTCAAATACACAAAATAATATGACAAGTGATAGAGAATTACTCGATGGAAGTAGAAATTTGAAAACTATTTGGGGTGAAGATTCTTCGACTTCTAGTAAAGTTATGAATTCAAGTTCTAGTTCAAGTTCAAATTCAAATTCTAACTCTAATTCTAATTCTAACTCTAATTCTAATTCTAACTCTAACTCTATTCCCAATCACGATTCTGGTTCAAGTTCAAGTTCCAGTTCCAGTTCGAATTCGAGTTCGAGTTATAGTGGTGTTCAAAGTTCTCATTCTGAACCACAAAGTAATTTAATTGAAAGACATGAATTAATACAAACTCAAATGAATTCAAAAGACAATTCTCCTGATGAAAATAAAATATCTTCAACAACAACTACAACTACTACTTCCACAGACACAGCTGCCACTACTACAACTACAACTACTTCAACTGCAACAAATAAATTTAATCATGGTATACCTCCTGAAAAATTATATATCGATAGCAAGAAAACAGTGGGGAATCTATCATCAAATGATCACCCAATTCATATCACCTCTTGGTTAAGCTCAAAACGTGGTGACGAAGTATATTCCTTATTAGATGTTCCTTCAAATCATAGATTCCACGAAATAAGCAGTAGAGATAGCGACAGACAAAGAAGCAGGTACTCCATTTCTGGTGATCTAATTTCTTCCCAACCTCCAAGATCAGCCTTGTCTTTGAGTAGTAGTTCGGCAAGTAGCAGACCAGCTGCTGACTTCACGGTCGATCATACACCCGCCATATTCGGCTCTGCTCAGCATGGTGAAACAAATATTCAAGTAAAAATCGAAGATACCAACAATGGAACTGCAGTTAATGATATCAAACCCCCTCAAATCACCGATGAAGAGAAAAATAATAATAAATCTTCATCAAAAAATATGAAGAAACACAAAAATGTGCCAATTTCTTCAAACATTCACAAAAATGATAATTCTAATAGTTCCAATAGAAATGTCGAGAATAATGATAATAACAGTAATAACAACAACAACAACAAAAATACTAATACTAATGATAATAATAACGAAGAAGAAGAAGAAGAGAATTATGTACCTCCTCCTCCTCCAAAATTTATAAATTCAAAATTAGACGGCGTAAGATCAAGATTATTGTTTAATCCAAGATCAACCTCACCAAAAGTCGATGATGATATGGGCACGGCCGCTGCTGTGCTATCAAATATGAGATCCTCCCCATTTAGATTCACCAACAGGAGCGCCTCACTAGGGAGTGCAAGTAGACCAGGTTCGTCTTCTTTATCCTCAAAGAACTACCAACGTCCTATTATAAGGATACAAAACAGAGAAAGATTATTTGACGACGAAGATGAAGATGATGATGCCATCTGGGATGATGATGACGATGACGAGGAAGAGGATGGGTCGAGTTCGTTGACAGCTGGCGCTTCCAGTGACGTTAAAAATTCTTCAGGTCGCAAGAACTATCCAAATGGCCATCCAGCCACATCTGCAAAGACAGGTAACTACAGAGAGGTGACTTGGAATAAAAATGGTAAACGAATCAATGGCAGACCTGCTCCTAACGCATCGACGAAAAAGGTTAAAAGGGATAAAGAACATGTAAAGACCAAACCTCTAATTAAAGATGAACAATCTGGCGTAGCCGAAGTTAAATTTATAAACAATGATTCTCAGATGTCTGCATCAGAAACTGAAGGCAAGGATAAACCTAAAACTGAGAAGAAGCCAAATATTGGCACAAGGTCTCGCAATGGCTGTTGGATATGTCGTTTAAGAAAGAAGAAATGTACAGAAGAAAAGCCAAATTGTTATAATTGTGAACGTTTGAATTTAGAGTGTTATTATCATATAAATAAACCAGAATTTGTTTCTGATCCAGCCAAGAAAAAACAAAAGTTAGAAGAAATAAAGAAAAAGACCAAAGAAGCCAAAAGAAATGCAATGAGGAAAAGACCACCAACTTAATTCATTCTTTTATGAAAAAGATCATATTATTATTATCATTGTTAGTATTATTATTTCCTCCATTCTAAACCTTCCTGATTATCTTCAAACAATTAAAGATAAAAAAAAAGTGATTGAAACAAAAAGATAAAGGTGGTTTCAAGATAAACCATTGTATGGGTTTGTAGGAAGTGGGACAACATCGAATAACGCATTTTCTGTAACATTATTTCATTTATTTCGTTTTGTTTTGTTTTGTTTTGTTTTATTTTGTTCGTGTATTTATTTATTTACCTTTTGTGTGTGGTTTGTTTCTATATTATTCCGATTAAACATAAACAACCACATAAACTCCATTCGATCAACCTTGGTAATAATTTAAACCCAAATATACGTATATAAACATATAAATATATGTACCCACATATATAAATTTCCTAAATAACAAAAAAAATACTTGTGACATTAATTAATCAAGCCTGTATTGTATAGTTTTACTTTCCTGGTTCAGCAATCGTCCCCACAATATGATTGCTTCAGCTTACTTCCATAAAACAAGATATAAATCTAAACCATTGACCAACAACAAGATAACATTAACATCCAATGATAAATTCCGATTATTCTCTAATCTTGAACGTGTAGCTGAACTCTGTTCACTACTAGAATGTAAACTTCGTTCGATATCAAAATGGCTACCTCATCACCAAATCTTACTTGTTCCGCTCTCTCTCTCTCTCGGCCGAGAATCGAATTCTAAATTAGACTAAATCCTCATATCCGCATTAACTCATATAACAAGAATCTTATATATATAAGTCGAACTAATATCAAGATAAAGAATGAGAATCTATAGTTTTACATTTAAATTATTCTTATTTTGGTACTGTTCAAGGTCAACTAAACTAGTTTAGTTTTTGATTTATATCAAGCTAAGTATATATTAATAATATTAGAGTTATTATAAGCTATTTTATTTATCCATCATGATAATGATAATATAACTTGAGTTATGCCCTAATTATACTGGCATCATGAATTATTCAATTTCTGTTTAATGGACAAAAGAATCATAATGTTTCAGTTATTTGAATATGGTTTGATAGCTTTTTAATAGATGATTCTTGGGTTGATGTTGGTTGAGAATCGAGTCGTTATTAGGAATAAGATCCCAATTGTGTGTCTTTTTTTGAATTTTTTTTTTCTTTCTTCCTTGGATGGGGTTGGCTCTAATGATTACTTCGTTTGTCCACTAGTCATTAATAGTAATATAAGATATTCCTGTTAATTGCATATTATTTTTCATATCATATTTTGCATAGATGAAGCCATTCTCATACATATAGGTCGATCGATAAATAATGTAGCGGTGGATATTAGAGATTCAATATTGATTAGTCCCTGTGTCTGTTAGTGTAACTACCTCTTTTTCTATCTTCATGATGAAAAATTTTAATAATGGTTCTAGTACAGTTACATTGTTAATGTTTATTGAGGCATTCGTGGTTGCTCATCGATATATTCATTGATCCTTTTCATATGGCTGTTATTGGAAACTATGAGAACTCTCTATTCCTGATTCACACTTGACTTCTTCTCATGCCTGCTATCTTAATCTTACGTTTCATTTATCGAATGTCTAATTAATTTAAATTAAATTAATTAATATCCCTATTCCTGAATAATATTTTCTTTGGTTTTGGCACTTTTATTGTTAGTTGGAAATGTATAAAAGAGTGCCTCATCAGTTGTTTCCCTCAATTATCGATTTTTAACATATATTCCTTTTGATATAATTTTATTATTCTTATAATATAAAGTATAATATCATCACTATATCACTACATTTACAATTCTACTTGAATATCGACAAATTGGTAGTTTCTAAATTAAATATACAGTGTTCCTAGGGTTTTAATCAATTATGTCAGAACAGAATAACGAACCCAGTATGAGGTTTAGAAAAACTTTCTCAAGAGCTATGAGGTTCATTGAAATTCCCACTGAAAAAAGAGAAACTGTCAGTGTACTGAAGAATCCAGATTTATTCCCAATTCCAAAAGAAAATCAAACTTGGGGGTTCTGGTCTAACTTCGGTTACTGGGGTATCATCTCCTTTGGTGTCGGTACTTGGTTAAGTGGTTCCTCCGCTTTAAGTGTCGGTTTAAGTTATCCTGAAACGATTGGTACTTTCATTATTGGTGACGTCTTAACAATCATGTTCACTTTGGCAAACTCCTACCCAGGTTTTGATTGGAAAGTAGGTTTCACCTTATCTCAACGTTTTGTTTTTGGTATTTATGGTTCTTGGTTCGGTATTTTGATCAGAATTTTAATGAGTGTTGTTAATTATGGCTCAAACGCCTGGCAAGGTGGTTTATGTGTTAATATGATTATTAACTCATGGTCTCATCATTATTTAAATTTACCCAATACTCTATCTTCCCATGTCGCTATGACTACAAAAGAAATTATTGGGTTTTTCATCTTCCATGTCATTTGTGCTTTATGCTATATTATGAAACCATATCAAATGAAATATCTATTGATTTGGTCAGGTTGGGCCACTTGTTTCTCAATGATGGGTATGGTCATTTATTTAACTCATAAAAATGGTGGAGTCGGTGATTTATTCACATCTACAAAAACTACCGCCCAAGGTTCCGCCAGAGGTTGGGCTTGGGTTTATATGATTTCATATTGGTTTGGTAGTGTCTCTCCAGGTTCTGTTAATCAAAGTGATTACTCAAGATTTGGTTCTTCTCAAAAAGCAATCTGGTGGGGTACCATATTGGCCTTGTTGATTCCAACCACTATTGTTCCTGTATTTGGTATTATTGGCGCGTCGACTAGTAGTGAGTTATACGGCGAACTTATTTGGATGCCAACTGGTTTCTTCGAACGTTGGTTAAATGACAATTATTCTGCTGGTGGCCGTGCTGCTTCGTTCTTCTGTGGCGTGGCTTTCACTATGTCTCAAATTAGTTATAGTATTTCTAATGCCGGTTTTGCAAGTGGTATGGATTTAGCAGGTTTATTACCAAAATATATCAATATTAGACGTGGTGCATTATTAACTGCTGCTGTTTCTGTTGCTGTTCAGCCATGGAATTTCTATAACTCTTCTTCTACTTTCTTAACTGTTACAAGTGCATTTGGTGTTATTATGACACCAATTATTTCTGTTATGATTTGTGATAACTTGATTATTAGAAAAAGACAGTATTCTGTGTCTCAAGCCTTCGTGCTACATGGCGAATACTACTTCACATGGGGTGTCAATTGGAGAGCGGTTGCTGCGATGGTCGTCGGTATGGCTCCAGGGTTACCAGGTATTGCTTGGCAAGTTAACAATGATTATTTCCATAATAAAGGTATTGTCAACTTCTATTACGGTGATTCTTTCTTCTCATTTGCCATCTCATTCTTTTTTTATTGGATATTGTGCTACTTCTTCCCAATTAAAGTAACAATTCCTCATGATGATAAAGATTATTATGGCGCTCTTACTGATGAAGTGGCTAGAAAAAAAGGTATGATTCCATTCAGTGAAATCACTCAAGAAGAAATCGACAGACACATGGCTACTGATCTTATTGAACACTACGACGCCAATAGTAGTTACCAAGAAACTTCCTCTACAACAACCGAAGTTAAAGATGGAGGTGACAAAGAAGATGGTGACAAAGCTGGTTTGGAAGTTCAAACAAATTACAGAACAGTTTCAACTGATGAAGAAGCAGATGCTTAGTCATTTCAAAAAAAATATCAGACACATTTTAATCCTGGCGAGGTAACCAGGTCTTTCACTTTTAATCATTTAATTATTAATATCTAGATAACAATAATTTGTCATTCGTTGATAGAAGCAAGGTTTGTTTCTACCTATCATTATTTCAATCAAATTTTTACATAAATAAACACAATAAAAATCATTTTATTAAATTTAATCACCTCGTTACAATTAACTATCAATTTCTTATTTTGGTCTCAGGTTTAATCTGTATTTAACTAATATTAAAAATGCATTTATTAAAAGTTCGTTACTTTTTTTGTTTCTATTTTACATATCTTATTTAAATTAAGTCCCAGGTTATAAACAGGTATTGTAATCAACTTAATACTCTATCCAAATGATCATTGTGTTCCATGGTATCCATTGTCTTTACATGGTTTAAAATTTCCTTTTTACTCGATTCTGCTAGTGATCCATCGCACATCAACATGTCATCTAATATATTATAAGCCTTCTCGAAATTGAATATAATATCTAACTCGCATACATTTCCAAAATATGTATCCATGGTCTCAACAAATCTATGTATTACTTCTAATGTTAACAGTTCATTATCAACCTCCTGTGTTATTCCACAAACGAAATATAAACTTGCATATCTTTTATATACCACTTTATGATCTCCAAATTCAACAATATTGCACATTTTAGCCTTTCTAGACAACACAATTGATGTTAAATTTCTAATAATCTTAGTCTTTTCGTTATTTGGTAAAGAAACGTACCATTTTTGCAATCTTACTTTACCTTGTCTTGAAATCAATAGCATATACTTAATTTGAGTCATGGTGGAAAAGTGTTGATTTTTAATCCCTTGTTAAAGCAAACGAATTGAACCCAAATATTGACCTCCAGAGATCTAATAGCTTTCTGAGGTTCGAACTGGTTTCTTTGTTCAGCTTTAGACCAAATTATTATCATGCTTTCATAGTGCCTTATTTTAAATTCATTCGATGTTAATATGAATTTCGAAATGATATAATTTATCAAACACGTATATAATGATATCTATGTATTTTCAAAAAAGGCAGGGTAACAATTATCTCTTATATCACCATATAAACTGTATTCATACTTAAAGAAACGACAGTGATCAATGCCATGAAAACTATATATTTAATAGTCTATTGTTGAAATAATATATGATATATACATATACTAATACGAGCTCTTTATTCATACACGACCTCTCCACATTAATTTAGTTTAATTTTCTTAAATTTTTTTTCCTTGTTTTAATTCATTTCCAGGGTATGTCTAAAAACATCATTCAGACGACTTCTTTATATGGAACATTTTTGTTTAATCTTCATCTTCTTCTTCAGTTGGTGGGACCCATGGAGCAGGTTTGAAGTATTCTTGATCCTGTAAAATATCATTTCTGAATTTTTCTTTGTTATCACAAAATTCCAACAAATATTCTAGTTCCAATTCATGACATTGTCTACCTAAGATGACTAACGAATGCAATGGTTCACCGGCATCGTATTCTGATAATTCTTGGATGGTACCTGATTTAAAGGATTGGCCAGCAGAACCTAATCTACTGATAGCGACAACTGGAGTATCAGGAGTATAAGCTTTGGTACCTCTGCTTTCTTCAATTTCTAACAATTGTTCACAACATTGAGAAATGCTCATATAACGAGGTGGTTCATAAATCAATCTACCACGAGCCATGTTCTCAATACTTTGTTCTTTGACTTTAATATCTAACAGAACTAAAGTATGTAAACCAATTCTTCTATTTTCCATGATCTTACCGTACCAGGAATCTGGTCTCCAGTTATCAGTAAAGAATACCATTGAAATAGTTTGACCAAAATTATACAATTGCAAACCACAAGCACCAACAGCATTCATGACAGATGCATTATGAACAATTTCAACAGGTATATTACTTTGTTTAGCCCTTAATACCAAATCAGTATGAGTTGTTGCACCAAATGGGTCACCAACAACTAAAAATGCAACATCTTCAGTTTCAGAATTTTTTAGAATTTCTTCAGCGCCACTTTCAACTAACTCTCTATCAGCCAAAATAACTTTATTACCATAAAATTCTTCCAATTCTTCTTTAGAAGCTGCCATTAAGATACTTGTGTAATGTTCCAAGTAAACTCTTGAACATTTCTTAACGATTTCTAAACCACGAACTGTGATATCTGATTTATAAGATAAACCCAAACCAATTAAATACAACATGATAAATTAGAACAGTACGTTACGTATACACCCTCACACGTTCAGTTTCTTATCACTCTACAGAAGAATAATCACAATTGAACTTTTATTATATACTTATCTCATCCCATCTCATCTCATCCCATCTCATCTCATCTTTATATAATTGCTTATAAAATTTTTCAAGATAAAATTTCACTACAACAAGACGTAATAGCCAATATATTTAAGTGTCAGTGCATATAATGAAACAATTAAAAAGTTTATTTGATTCAAGATATGGTACATGTCTAAGTGGTAGTTGTTATTGCTTGTAGGTTTACAATTTTATAGTTGAGTTAGGATATTTTTATTAAATTATTAAAATCATTATGATTACATTAATTTTGGATATTGATAAGGTTTGCATTTGAATACAAAAAGGTATTGAAAGCCCATTTACAAAATAGAACAGACTCTCTAAAAAATTGCAATTGGATTTGATTGGGTTCTAATAATAAGAATGGTGAATTTTTTTGAATTGTGTATTGTTGATATTATTTTTGGGTTTGGAATCGAATATTAGGTAAGAATAAGGTATCTTTTTTTTTTTTAAAAAAAAAATATAACCAAAAACATAAGTGGGTTTGACATTAATTGAGGATGTTGTTGTTTGCGAATGGAATGATCCTACTGAGGTGTTTTTTCGTAGCAATAGAATAACATTTGTGATTCTGTCTTTTTCTGTTTGCTCTTGGTAAATTTGTATCTTAAAAATTCTTTAAAGGTCAGATCTTCTAAACTTTTTATTTTATATTCACCACTTGTTTGGTCAGCAGAGCTATAAATTCTGTCATTTTCGGAATTAGAGGTTGCTTGGTCGTTAAAGCTAATGATTGAAGTATTTGCATCAGAAAATCTTGATTTAGATATTCTTCTTGGTTCTAATTCACTTTTAATGGAGCTATTAGATTCTTCTTTTGAGTCACAGTTTGATGGTAATGATGCTATTGATAAATATTTTGAACTCGAATTCGAATATCTATTAGGATCAATTTCACCCAGCGGTTTAGATTTTTTAACCCATAAAATATCTGACCTGATATTTGGTGACTGGGTAGATGGTACGTCAGTAATCTGATGAATGTTTTCGTGGGAATCGTTTCCAGTATAATTTTCTTTGTTATTTACATTTTGGACTTCATTTTCATAAGTATCGTGTTGGTGATTTTGGTGTTGTTGCTGTTTCTGCTGCTGCTGTTGGTTTTCTTTAAACAACTCTAAGAAAGCAGGTTGCTTGGCAGTGCTTTTATTTTTAATTGATTTTTTTTGGTTTGGAATGGAATATATTCTGTTTGAATCTTTCAAGTATAATGAAATTTTGTTTGAAGTTTTAATTAACTTTAAATTTTCATAATTAAAATTTTCTAAATTCTGTTGATTAATTTTCGATATATTAAATTTATAAAACTGGAATTTTTTAAAGATATTTTGGAAATTGTCATCCATAATTAATTGTTCATTCATTATTGCATTTTTAATCTTTATTAGATTTATATTTTGAGGTTTTTTCATTTTATCACCACTAATCTTGTAAAAAATAAATTTTTGTAGAATATTCCAATTTTTATAACTGAAGGATTCGCCAATTCTTGGTTTCAAGGTTATAATCAAATTTTTAACAGATTCATACAATTCAATGGTCAAGTTTCTGTACTCTCTACGTAACTCCATGATCAATCTTGTTACTGTATCTTTTTCATGATGATTATTGTCTTCATAATCAAAATATAATTTTTTGAATTGTGAGCATGATAGAACTTGTAATTCTAATATATAAATAGTAGGGCATCTTTTGATGATATCTGACATTTTAATCATTTGTTGCAAACATATTGAAAGGCAAAAAATCTGTTCGATCTTAATTAGAGATACGTTATAGATCAACGAATTTGATTTATTGATTTTTTCTAATTCATTATTAACCATATATATCTTTTCTTGAATACTTGGCAATTTATAGAACTGATACAGTTTGATGTACTGTTTCAAAAATTCTTCATTGATTGGTTGAAATCTTTGTAATCCAGAGTAGTCGACAAACATTTTCCCTCGCAGCCAGTGCAAAGAGTGCCAATAAACTATGATATATTATCAAATCAAATATGTGATAACAACAACAAACAATAACAATATTAACGATTAACCAATATCAATTAAATAGATTATCCTAGTATTTGTTAAATAGTACAATAACTGACACAAATGAAAATAAGCCATTCAAAGGCTCGATTGAAAACAAGACACTGCAACAACTACAAGATACCCAAAAAGCAAATAATCACAAAAAATCAACACCTTGTCTATTCACAATTCCCCATCAGAAACAAGACATCTTGATTGAAGATCAACAACAAGATCTAGAGAACATCCCAAAAATTGAGACCTCCAATGACTAAAAGAGACAAACAGTTACGACAAACTTCACATTATACTGATATCAAATCTACAAGGGAACTTCCATCAACATTCGGATGAATCAAATAAGAGGAACTAAAGAACATGACCATTAAACATCAACAATAATGATCCATTTAATTGGAAACAGTTAAGAATCATCAAGGTTGTTCTTTTTTCCTTTCAGAGATCATCATTTATTATTAAACTTGGAATCATAACGGTTAAGAGAACATGCAATGCAATGATGAAGATGGATATTTTAAATGGAACTATCAACAAGATTAAAATAAAGGATTTGGAGACGAACCAAAGCCTTTAAAACAAGAACTTTGGTTTTATTGGACTGGGATTGGACTAGGATTGGCATAAAATTGAACATTAAATAAAACCTTTAAGTCTATTGATTCGGTGAAAAAAGTTTGGAGTTTAAACTACAAATTCAGCAATTCGCTTAGAAGATAGATAGATAGATATATAGAAAGGGTATACTTTAATTGAACCTATATTGCTGTTAGAGGTAAAATTGAGTTGGCTTTAGTTGAGTTGGATTGAGTTGAGTTGAAATAGATAAAGAGGGTGGATTAGTTGATTCGATTATGTTTAAGACCTGTTTTAATCGAAGGTTATTTTCACCAGCATCTTCGGTTCATCGAATTAAGGCAAGTTCACAGTTCCATTTGTCTTCAGTATCACGTCGAGTAGAATTTACAAATAATATTTACAATTCAGTCTCTAGATCCAATCCAAATTTACCCAGAGGTTGGTCTAAGAGACATTTGATTGTTGGAGCTATTGTTGGTTCAGGGATCTTTTTTTATTATACCAATAACACAGTTCATGATTTTTTAAAACATATTGGTCATACTATAAGGAGAACAAGTATTGTCACTCAAGCCACTATACGTTGTTTTTACAATTATAAGAAGACCTTGAATACAGATTATCCTGATGAAGATTCGAGACTCAAGGCTCTGAGTGATTGCCATTTAAAATGTGCTCTTATTACTTTAAACGCTTTACAACGTAATGGTGGTATTTATATAAAATTGGGTCAACATATCGGTGCAATGACTTATTTATTACCTCCTGAATGGACTGAAACAATGATACCTTTACAAGACCAGTGTCCTGAATCAACTTTAATTGAAATTGATAATATGTTTAAACAGGATTTGAAAAAAAGTATAGATGAGATATTCATTGAATTTGATCCTAAACCAATTGGTGTTGCATCCTTAGCTCAGGTGCATATTGCAACATTAATCGATTCTGGTGAAAAAGTTGCAGTAAAATGTCAACATCCTTCTTTAAAAGAATTTATTCCCTTAGATGTTATGTTAACTCAAACAGTTTTCAATCTTTTAGATGTCGTTTTCCCTGAATATCCATTGACTTGGTTAGGTGATGAATTGCAATCTTCTATTTATATCGAAATTGATTTTAAGAAAGAGGCAGCTAATGCAATTCAAACTCAAGCTTATTTTGCAAATTTTAAAAGAAATACGGCTATTAGAATTCCAAATGTCATTAGTGCAAACAAAAGAATTTTAATTATGGAATATGTAAATGGTAAAAGATTAGATGATTTAAATTATTTGGATAAAAATAATATCTCAAGGGCTGAAGTTTCATCATGTTTATCACATATTTTTAATAATATGATCTTTACACCAAATGTTGGTATTCATTGTGATCCTCATGGTGGTAATCTAGCTATCAGAGCAATCCCTTATGGAGGTTCGGCTAATCCACATAATTTTGAAATTGTACTTTTTGATCATGGTTTATATAGATACCCTTCAACTAGAATGAGAAGAGATTATGCTAAATTTTGGTTGGCTTTATTAGATCATGACCAAGAAAAAATGAAATTATATGCTAAAAGATTTGCTAATATCGATCCTGAACAATTCCCATTGTTTGCCGCCGCAATTACAGGAAGAAGTATCGACACAGCTTTAAATTATGATATTTCAAAAAGAAGAAGTGATACAGAGATAAAAGTTATGTCAGATGGTATCGTATCAGGTGCATTCCTTGCAAATTTGATGAGCATCTTATCAACAATACCACGTATTGTTCTACTTATCCTAAAAACTAATGATTTAACTAGGCATTTAGATGAATGTTTACAAAATCCTCTTGGCCCAGAAAGGACATTTTTAATCATGACACAATATTGTGCAAAAACGGTTTATGATGAAGATTGTGAAGATATAAATAAAACTTTTTCAAGATGGTCAGTATACTGGATGTGGAGTCACTTTATATCATGGTTCATTTATGAAAAGAGAAAAAACCAACTAGTTCTATATGATCTTGCATTTTGGTGGAAACAGCATGTTCTAACAAATTAACAAATTTGGTAAATGCTTGTCAATAATAATAGTAACGGGGATGACGATAGTAATAATAAAAAAAATGCTCTATCGACTCTTCTTTATTCGCTGTAAAATTTCCACTACATTTTGGTTGGTTTTAATATTGTTTGTTTTTTATTATTAATTTTATTCAGTTATGTTATTAATCTTTATATTCGTCAATATATGCTAGCATTATATCTATATATTCTAGAACAAAAAATATATAAATGTTAATGAAAATGGTTGGCTACAATCCATAGCCCATTATTATCATCCGAGTATAAATGTTTCAAGTTTATTAGTTTAATTTGATTAATGTATTCATTTTTTGTCATCACATTCTTAGAATATAAATTTCTTCTAATTGAAAATATGACACATATGCCTAATAATGCTTATTGATAGGGGGAATGAACTAATATCAATTAACTACTTATGTTAATTTTGGGAGTTCTTTAATCCATGTATATATTTTTTTGCAAATGCAATATCCATAATTGCTAGGCCAACAAGCTTGCAAAGGGTTATCTTCCTATGGCCGTTCGCAATTGCAATTTTTGGTAATTCCAAGTTTTCATGTAACTTACCAATTTCTATTAGTTGATTTTTTTTCACATTGGATGCAATTAATTCCCCTGATTCACCCAAAGAATGAGATTTTGAATCCACTATAATTGGAGCGTCTAAAGCTTGAAATCTTTGTATTAATGTATTATCACACTCTCTCATGCCTGGGGTATAACTACCTATTAGTGAAATATAAGTGTACTGATCAACCAATTGTGAACCTGTTTTAGGTAATAAGTGTTTATAATAAAGTACTGGACATCTTGATGGTACACATCCAAAAATTATATTAGCATCATCAATTGTACTTTGCAATGCGCTCAAATTTTCCCAATTGTATTGTTCAAACTTTAACTCAAATGGACAGTCTGATAAACAGTCTTGTAATTCATCCAATTGCATTTTTCTATTACGGTATAGAACAGTTACATTGATGCATTTTAAATCTGGATATGAAAAATTTGAAGTTGGGTAAAAAAGTTTAATAACTATATAAATATGCCAAAATGCTTGTAAGCCGGAACCAAATACTACAATATTTATATTACCATCCAAATGTGAAATATAATTTGATAAATGAGGTAAAATTGGGATGCAACTAGCCATTGCAGTTCTAATACCTGTTACTTCCTTTGCATCTAAAATCCCTTCTATTTTCCCATTTGAAGAGTCTTCTACAATAATTGAGCCTATAAATCCTTTATTACTCTTTTCATTGTGAGTCAAAGTTTTCAAACCTGAATAAGTGTCATCTATTACAGGCATATAAAAATGTAGTACACCTTCTTTTGGGGTCTTTTGTACTAATCGATTAGGAATGATAGAATGATTATCTGAAAATAATTTCAATGCATTTTTGATTTCATTAATGTACTCTAGAAGTTTATCAGTGCTACAATTTAAAAAATAATTTCTAATTTCAGTATTTTCAACTGTTATCATAATAAATTGATACTTTCGGTTTGTATGCTAATTCTCCCTGGGAAGGTATGTAGTTTCTATTAATATTGGTTCAAATTGAAAGAAATACCAGAGGTTGGTTTATTTCGATATAGTGATTAATAAATTAATAGATAATTCCTTCATATGTGATGATAAAAATGATAATTTCGCTAATAGTAGTAACGAGGATGAGTAAGTCGGTAGTCACCTTTGATGTAAAAATTAACGCGTTTTGGTGATGATTTAATATTTCAAATCATTTTTCAAGAAGCTCCGGACTTTATGTAAGGTCGTTTCGAAAGATATCCCTTTGAGTGGGAAGAATTAACAAGAAGTAAAAGAAGATAAATTTTAAGAAAAGTGGTCTCCAAAAGAGAAGAGACACTTGGACCACTTTTGATTTCTTATAATTAATTTTATTAATTATGTGGTAGTGATATTAATTGTTGTTGTTTATTTTGTAGTTACAAGAATAAAATATGATTATTTAAAGCAGAAGTACACGTGATCATGAAAATTCTATTGCAGAAAAAGGACTAATCAAACATCAAGGGATAGTTAAGAATAATATATCGTTATTAGATCCAACCAATTCCAATCTGAATAGTCGTCATACGAGAAGAAGAGTAAAAGGGAAGGGGGGCGTCACAATGTATAACACCCAACAAACAGTAGAGTTTCTCAATTCAAAGTAAAGTTATACTCAAAGCAGTCAATCAATCGACATATGGAAAAATTAGTACAGTAGAGTACAGCGAAGTTACCATGATTTGACTCAAAACCAAAACCAAACTCAAACTCAGACTCAAACTCAGACTCAAACTCAAGAAATGAGGCTTATCCCACGTCGAGAAAAAATAAAACATAATAATAATAATAATACAATATAATATTACTAGTAGTCAATTTATCTTATATTTTCCCCGTCTCCTCCTGCTGATGTATGTTCCAACAAAATTATTTAATTGACCAATTAATAATAAAATAGTACTAGTAGTAATACTAAATACTGATTATATGCATATAGAAATCCAATTTCGTAATTCCCACAAAACCACGCTCTACTCACATTGTTGTTGTTGTAACTTCAACGAATATTCAAACCGGAAGGATACTGTTACGACAATACATATTAGAGAGTTCATGTATGTACACTTTTAGTACTATTTTGTGTCCCAGTATTATTTCGATTTAATATGTCTCGTTTAAGCATTCCAAAATTCTATTAAAGCCTTAATTTATGCTGTGCTGCGCTGCGCTTGATTACTTGGTGGATTTTTCAGATATTGTCAATTGCCCAAGAATTCATTTATCTTCTCAGAACGTTTCTCTTACGATATGACATGCTTAGGTATACGTCGTTTTCTTTGTGTCAATGGACAATAGAAAAAAAAGACAACACAAAGGGCAGACGAGCACTCAAACGGATTGGCTATAGCATTGTCGTTACCTTGCTTTTTGTGTACGCTTGAAATGTTCTGCAGGTGAGTGTCTCCCAGGAACGACGATAATAAAAAGAAACAACAGCAATATACACATCTGCAACTTCTTTTTTTCTTTTTTTCTTTTTTTCTTTTTTTCTCTTCCTCTTTTTCCGGTACGAGCGGGTCTTCCAGTCGTTTCCCGCTGCTGATGCCGCCGCCAATTCAATCGTTCCAACAGCACAGAAGAAGGAGGAGGGGAAGGAAAACAAAAAAGAAAAAAAGGAAAAACTGATGTTTCCTCTGTAGAAATTAACAGGTTTCGAAATATCCCTACCGGAATTATCTGTGTATGAGTTTTTCGATCGTAAAAAAAAAAGTTAAGACTAAAACTGCACAGCAGTACACAGCTCTAACAAGAACTCACGCAAAAACATAACGACACTTTCTCTAAAGAACAAATAAAGCAATATCAATTAACTTAAGATCGAATGCTATTGCTATTACCATTACTATTACCATTACCATTACTAAGAAAACAATCTTATTAATTGTCCTGGTCAGAACTTTACTGAATTGTGTTCTATACAGTTATCTCATTATCTGTGTGCGTTTTGTTGTATCTTTAACTCAATCCAAGTATAAGTCCAAGTCCAAGTCCAAGTCCAACCTCAATCGTTGGTGCAAACAGATATGCTGTTGACCAAACTTATTCAGTCCAAAATGAAATTAAATTAAATTAAATTAAATTAAGTGGAATGGAATGGAATGGAATTCACAAACTGCAATTGAAAGAAGCCGTGCATATGCGATTATTGGTTGTTAGCAGGAACGGTCGTCGACTAGGAGTTTCTATCAGTTAAAGATTGTTTGTTTCTTCATTTCTTATTCATGGGATATCTTTAGGCTTGACAATTTCATTGATTTTTTGTTTTTTCTGGGCTTTTTGGCTTTGAGATTAAGAGAGAGAGAGATACTGAAAATCTGATCGATCTGTTTCTTTCTTTCTTTCTTTCCTTCGTTTGTAGCGGTTTGGGTTCGTATACGGTTGAAGAATTTTTTGCAAGGGTACGAAATGATTTTAACAATCGATGTTCAAAAATTGGATTCATTTATATATTATGTTTTCGATTTATTGGATTTCTAGCATTAACGTCATTTTTATTTAAAAAGACAGATTATGGAATAACTCAATTAGGTCGATATTATATTTTTTTTCCCCAAAAATAATTAAAAGTATAAATTATTAATTATTAAATTGTATCGATTATTAATTTACTAATTCCATTAGCGTATTAATCTCATTTGAAGGCGCTAAACACTAGTTCGCTTTATATAAATACATTGCAATACATTTTGTTTGGAACTACAACTGGTTTTGAGCCGCTTATTTGAACAGATAGACATAAAATAAGACTATTTCAAAGACATAATGAATACTGAAGCTGCAGGCAAAGTTAAAAGAAAACGTAACAGAATTCCACTAAGTTGTACGATTTGTAGAAAACGTAAGGTGAAATGTGATAAAACTCATCCTCATTGTAATCAATGTATCAAAACTGGTGTTCATCACCTTTGTCACTATATGGAGCAATCATGGGCTGGTGAAGTCGGCAAAGAAATGTCAAGAGATTTGGAATTGAAAAAATTAAGAGATAAAGTTAAAGCATTGGAGGAATTATTAAGTAAAGTTAAACAAACTGAACCTCTAGGAAAGAATGTTGATATTAATCCAGATATGTGCACGCCTGAATCGGTTTCACTTGCAACCTCCTTAACCAATAATAATGGTAATGTATTGGCGGCTTTGGATAGTACTCTAAACCTATCTCCAGATGTATTAAATAACTTCCAAAAATATGATAATGATGAATTGGATCTAACTATTCAATTTGATATGTTACATCTGAAAAATAAAGGTACTGTCCATTTGGGGGCTACCCACTGGCTAGCTGTAATGAAAGGTGATCCGTACTTGAAATTACTATGGTCTCAATTATTTATTATGAGAGAAAAGTTATCAGAATGGTATTCTCAAAAGAAGAGGCTGTCGAAGAAAAAAATGGACAAAATGCAACAATGCCCTGTAATGCGTAGGAAATTGAAAAACGAAAGCAACGGTTTATTAAACCCCATTCCTACAAAATGTCCAGTAGGTCATTCAAAATTTAAATCTAATGCTATTACAGAAAATGACTCTTTCCCAAGACCAATGTCAGGTATGAACTTTCCCGATAGTGCATCGCATACTTCATTATTAAACTTACCATTATCAAAAAGCCCATTACCCAATTTTTCACAACTGTCAAGATCGACAACACCTATCAACTCTGGAAATATCGACGGAGACATTTCCATGTCTAAGATTATCTCTAATATCTGCGACTTGTTACCACCGAAATCTGTAATATCAGTATACTTAGATAAATTTTTCAGGCATATCTATCCTGTCATCCCAATTATAGATGAACAAAGTTTTAGATTGAGCTTGAACAGGATGTTGGGTTTATTACAAACAGATAGTGACATGGTTAAAACTTTAAAAATATCAAAAATTTCAGATTACTGTACTTTGGGTATTTTGGTGATTATAATGAGATTGACTTGGTTATCATTATCCTCAAATACATGTGACATAGACTTAACATCAACATTTATTATTTCAGGTGCGCAATTACCAACTACAATCAACGCATCAAAAATCAAAGAGGAATCAGTAATAATGCAATATGAGCCATCTGTTGAAACACTAAGACTAATAAGAAAGTATCTTATCAAATTTGATGAAATATCTAGTTTCTCTAACAGTAATGTGAGCTTAATTACAGTTCAATTTGCAATTTTTTATAAATTATACCTGAAGAGTTGCGCTGATGCTTCTTCCACAAATACAAACCAAGTCGAGCCAATGGATTCTATTGGGGGTCAAGATAATGAAACTCATCAAGTACTCATGTCGAGTATAACTCAGATGGCATTCAGTTGTGGTCTTCATAGAGATCCAGATAATTTCCCACAATTAAACTCGATTACAGATTCTCAATCATTAACTACAAACGGTAGTACAAATAATTTGGAAGCAATGGTTCAAGCTTCAGCTGATATGAATGGAGGAACTTTCAACAAAACTACTTCACAAAATAATTCAAATAATTCAAATAATTCAAAGGAGGCACAAGCCAGTACAGAAAGATACAAACATACTTGGAGAAAAACATGGTATTACATAGTGTCCATGGATGTTGAACAATCTTTATCACTAGGTACACCAAGATTGTTACGAACTATTAGAGATATTAGTGACACCAAATTACCATCTGCTTCAAAAATCGATTACGTTAAAGATATTAAAGAATTGATTGTAGTTAAAAATTACAGCTTATTTTTCCAAATCGATTTGGTAATTATTTCTGTTTTGAATCATATTCTTAATGTTTCTGTTGCAAAAAATGTTAAAAAATCAGACCTTGATTCTCTAATCAATTCCCTGAAAGATTTAACGCATAATAATAAACCAATAAATGATGTTATTAATGACTTAATGAATAAGGGTCTTTTATCGGAATCTGAAGGTGTTGTGGATCAAAATGCTGATGAAAGTTATGGTTTACCAAGTCTAGAGGATCTTGCTTATCCTGAGCGCATGAAACCAGATCTCGATGGGAATATATCAAATCTGGATAAAAAAATTGAACTTCCACACGAATCAACAACAAAGGCTCTTCTTTTTTCCAAACATCTTACAGTAAGGGTTCTATTATTTTTATTGAATTATATTTTATTTACTCATTATGAGCCATTGGCCTCAGAAGATCCTGAAACGATTAATGTAGCCAAAAACTATGCACAGAGTGCATTGGATTATGCAATGGATGGCTTTAAAAATTGTGTGTTTTTCTTTACAAGTTTAAAAAATTCTAAGTCTACTGATTCTCTTTTCAACTATATGGAAGTTATGTTAACAACACATTGTCTAGATGTAGGAAATCGTGGATTGCAATATATCATTTGTTTGATACTACGTTCAAAATGTGGACCGTTATCTGGTATGGGAGACACTACAGTTATGGCAACCAAATCTTCATCTGCTTCTTCAACTACTAGTGGAAGTGGAGAGAATTCATGTAGTGAGAATGAAGAGGATTTTGATCCAAATTCGTTGAAGAAAAAAGGTGCTATGAATGAAATTGTAGATTTCGATAAGCGCATTGATTTGGAGGCAGACGATGACTTATCAAAGCTATTGTATGCCAGAATTGCATTATTTTATGAACTCACAGATCAGATATCGCATAAATACAAGTTTGCATCAAAACTGAATAAATCTGTTAAATTTTTTATGTCTCTATTGCAGCATCCATTGAACAAAATGTCCACTGATGGTAAGCCATCCAGTTTATTAATGTCGGGCTGGAAACATCCACGTATAAATAATATGCCCAAGAATTTTAAGAACAGTACTCAGTTTATATTAAGTGCGGATACGGAACAGTTGAAACGATGCCCAGTTTATCAAGACACTGTTGGATATATGGGTTCTGTGCCAGATATTTCAGTTGGACGGAATACTGGATTTTATTCCAATAACGGTATGCAACAGAGTCGCCAATTAAAGATTCAATTACCTTCTCTAAGGGCATATAACCCTGTTACATATAATAAGAGTAATATTCGTGAAGTAGAAACGGATGAATCGATCGAACAATTTAAAAAACGTCGTTTGGAAAATGTTAATGAAGAAGAGCATATAATTGGGGACATATTGGATCCTGTTCAACAAGGCCCTCCTTCTTTTTTGACATCCAGGAATAATCTAGTTCAAAGGGATTTGAAAACATTTAACAGAGTTAATTCATCAGCAGACTTACTTCCACCTCTAGAAAATGTAACACGCTCATTAACACCAATTAATGATCTTAGCGTATTCTCTGATGGCTCAAATTTTTCCTCAATGGTAAAATCCGAAGATAATACTGTCAATAATGATTTAGTTAATTTGATTTCTCCCGCATCAGTTACATCATCTGATAGTCAAAACATTCCTGATTTTGAGGACTTTTTATTGCAAGACACTAACTTTAATAATGGATTACAAATTGATCCATCGAGTTTATGCGAAGCCGTTGGTATTAGGAACATTGATCAACTAGATATGAATTTGGTTGGTATGTACAGTTCAGACTTTTTACCAATAGACAACATCGGATCTACTAATTTACAAGGCATAAATGGTGGTGATTATTCAGTTTGGAATTAAACTTGAATATTTTTTCCACTTATTATATATTATAGAAGTAATTTTTGTATATAACTATTATAGAGTAATCATGATTATTGACATGAGACTTTATCATTTTTTCATTGGTTCAATTTGAAACTGTTGTAAAGCAACATTGTTATAGGCAATACTCAGAATTAAATTGGTACTTGTATTATCGAATCTCATATATATCACATTCTAATTTATCTATTATGATGAATAGAATACTAATATAGTTAATAGGGCAATTTGTCATCACTTATTAATGAATCATAGATATATCGACTCAACGATGAGTAACAGAATCGTTTATATTACAGGAAGCATTTTCAGTAATATTTGGAGTATAAATAGGAATTAAATTTCGATGTGTAATATTTAGATTTAACTTGTGTATATTGTGTATTATATTTCTTATCTAATAAGGACAAGAAAAAAAATTCTTAGATATTATTATAAAACTTATTAATAAGAAATATCACCTGAACTCAGAAGACAAGGTATTGAAGTTGCAGTAATGGTTGATAGCATGTATTAAAGTGCATACTTTTATCTTTGAAATTAGAGCAACATTATATGGAATTGTGTAATTTTCTAAGGTGTATTATTGTACGTCAGGTAGCATCTTATACTCTACCCAAAATGGTGTATAGTCGACAAGAGAATATATAAAGAACTAAATAGGTACCATAGCTGGAAAAAATAAGCCCCGAAATAAAGAGAAATACACAATTCTCTTAGTTAAATGTTATAAAATATTATCAAGTATATCTACCTTTAGACTATATTAATATATTAGAATACAGTAAACATATATTACTATTTTAACTAATATCTTACCTAACACACAATCTTAATAAATGCATTCGTTATTTGACGCGGAAGATAAAACGAACCATATCAGCAAATATTGAATTTGGTTGCAAACTCATGAGAAGAGAAACATATATATCAAAAGGTCAATTGAATTAAGTTAAGTTAAGTTAAGGTTTATACATTCACTGTAATATGAATACGAATGTGGGTTTCAGATATTTAGATAATAAAATGAAAGTAAACTTGCTAAAGAAAAAATGAATAGACTATATAGCTTCCTATTATGTACTTTTGTTTTTTCGATTACTCATGTTACAGGAGAACACTCAGGTGGTGAAATTCTGTCTTATGAAGCCAATCAGTCATTTAATGCCTTATGTGTAGAGAGATCTAAAGTGATCAGAGGTGTGTTGTGGGGTGCTGTGGCCTACTTCCTAACCAGAGCTCTGTCAAGTTTCGCGCTGATATTTACGAAAGTTGGTGACAGAGACCCATGGCAACGTGACAGATGTATGAACATTGCTAGGTCAGCCTCTGCCAGTGCTGGGTTAATCACTTTTAATATACTTATGCATACGAACGGAGTCTTTGGAGAAAAGGAAGAATTTTATGAGAATGTGAGGTTTGTATCCTACTTTTTACTGAAAGTCTTAGGAGCAATAACGACTTTGGTCATATTTACTCGTATCATACACACTATAACGAAGAGCAATAAAGTACAAATTTCAGCGACTCAGATAGAGGAGCCATATACGACAACTTTCTCCCCCAATAAAACTTTAGGATAGAATATGTATTGAATTTGTGTTCCTGGTTTGACAACAACTAACGACGTCAATGGAATGATTCTAACCGTGGTTAACCATTTAACTTGTAGGGGACAGTTTATTACAATGTCAGTCAATACAACAGGATATGATTGTTTAACTACACTAACGAATCAAGTTTCCAAGCATCTTGGTTTCCCTGCCACCACAATCAACGAGTGAGGTATTCGATTCAGTAGTGAATTCTACAAAGATGATATGTATAAATTCAATATTACACTAGGTAAGGCTATGAGACCAGACAAATTGGAAAGGATAAATGTTATCACTTTTAGAAAAGAAAACGAATGTAGAGATGTCTCATATAAAGAGAGGAATGAACCTAGAGGTGAGCAGATGTTTGGTAGTAACTCCGATATTCAACGTGGTTATAACTAATGAATAAGACACAACATAGTTGAAATGGAACGCAGAATGAACACTTCAGTAAATATTGAATGTGTTGGCAAAGTTGCGAAAATAGAAACATATAGAAAGGCCAATAAAGTTAAGGTTTAGATATGATAATAGGAATAAAATGTAGAGTTAGATATATAGATGATGAAAGACAAGTAAGGATCACATCTGTTCCTGTACTGTTGCTACACGACAAAAACCGTTGGAATATAATCTCTCGTGGTGTATGTCACTTATTTAACAGAATACAACTTGTCCTTTTATGTATAAACGACAACTCTCTATAGAGTGTAGCTGATGAAATTATTTATAACATAAACCATAATTATTTACGTAATGTCTCTTGTCTCGTATCTCTATTACTCTGACATTAATTACCCTCGAATCTAATCGGATAATCACTAGACCTGAAGTGTTCCTATTAACTTACAAGATATTCTCTTATTATCTACATTATTACCCGGACGTATCATTTTTAGAATGTTCTACTAAAGTATTTAACATTCTAAGAAAAGAAACAATAATAAGTAGCGCAAGTGGTTTAGTGGTAAAATCCAACGTTGCCATCGTTGGGCCCCCGGTTCGATTCCGGGCTTGCGCATTTATTTTTTGCAATCTTTTACCAGAAACACAAAGTGATAGACATAAAAAGATATCTCTATCCTGCTAATTGTAGGATATTTCGAATTGGCATCAGTTTACTCTTGATAATTTCTTTTTTTTTTTTTTAGTTTTATAAATTTGAGATACACTTTCAAAATATTATCCATTAGTAAGAATTAATAATATTATAACCATGAGGCATTCATTCAAGATCTGAAATTGATTGCTGTTCATGAAGAATTGGATTTCGATTCTGGTGATATCATCTCTGAAAATGAAAATGAAAATGAAAGTGAAACTGATATTGTCACTAGATATAATAAAGACGATTATTTAGTAGAAACTCTTCAGGAGGTTCAGACTAACAGATGTGACATCAAAGTTCATTGTAAATCAATGTTTCAAATAACAATCAAAAATACTATTCCAGAAAATCAAGAATACATAATTGTGATTAGTAATAGACCTAGTTTTATAAGTCCCTTTTTACTAATTGTGAGACATGGAAGCTCGTATCTTCATAAAAACTGTAGGAAATTCTCGATATTTTAGGTCGAAAGATAAGAATAGTTGCAAGTAATACCATACTCCAGATAGTAGTGAAACTTAATAAATATAGAAAGATATTCGATTTTGTTGGAGCCGTAATTAATAGAATCATCTCTTAATTTCATAATTTTGTGACATCAAATAAAGATCAAGTTTGATTAAAATAGTCACCCTCTTGCCCAAATCAAAAGATGTTGGAAACCATTATTTATGGCGTATTATATTGTTAGTAAATATTCATCTCAACCTTAAGGTTGGCTTTACGGTTTTGATATTTTTTCTCTTAAGATTAAACTATCGTATATTCCTTACATTCTAATACTGCAATATGACTTTTGATTCGATTTTAAATGTTAATTAAATGTTATTTCATTTCTATTCTTATCTAAATTTGGAGTGAAAGAGCCAAAAATGTCACTACAAAGAGCATTAAATGTCACTACAAAGAGCATTAAATGTAACTCCTAGCTAACAATTCTAAAGTTTCATGACTCAATGACCAAATATACCAGTGAATTGATTGACAAGTTGTTGGTATTGGTGCAATAGCTGTATAGGAATACCTTGCACACGATATAAAAATGAAATATAGTACAATTAAAAGAGCTCTACATATTGAATTCCAGTATAATCTGGGATTCTCAAGTTATTCCGAAAGATATCTTGTCCAAGATGGAATGGCCCATGAGGGAGATCTACTTCTGGCTTTTATCATATTTGTATTCGTTAGAAAACGTATACTACTAACTTAAACTGGTTAATTTTGGAAGGTAGTAAAGTAGGAAAGTTAATATTTACAATTAATACAATAAAATTGATAACTAATTATGACAGTTAGTAATTCTTCTATATTTCATATGGCTAGATTATATTATTCAACAATTGTGTACCTTATCTTCTAGTGGTTGAGAGATACTTATTTCTAGGATTTGATGTTTTATGGAATTATAAAGAATCACTGTAAGTGATAAGTGGTCAAAATAACCAACTATACTTACGTAAATACCATAACTTTCCCTTAGTTTATGTATGCCTCTTTCTTATGAGAAGATTTGGTTGGACTTAATTAATACATGAAAGAGGGATAAATGTGCCAGTGTAGGAAGATTCTACTGGGAGGAGCGTTAGTAAAATTTGAGAACTCACCTCTTTTCAACTTACAAGAATTTCCATTACTGAAGCTACCGGCAACTATTCAACTTCAACTTCAACTTCAATTTCTATGCAGGAACATACTTTCCTTACATGATCACCATTATTGTTAAACGAAGAATGAAAATATCTTGATTCAAGACAAGAGATTGATAGCTAACTCAACCATCGTTTCAAAAGAAATGAAGAGAGATGAATGAGCTTTCTATTTTCCAGAATGAGAACCAGTCCCATCGCCGCATCCCATAGTAAAGATGAAGTGTAGTGGAATGTTTGTGGGTTTTATTATTTTAGTTTGATACTTTTAACCTCAATCATTTCTTATTAATTGATAAAGATTATTACGGAAAAGAAGAAACAAACTACTCTACCTCATATTCCCCTTAATTGTTTCTTTCTTTCTCTACTTCTCTAGCTTTCTTATAGGAATAAAGAGGCCTAATAAGCAAGTAAAAATATACAAGGATTATGTCTTCAATAGACCTCGACAGGTATAATTTTATGGGGGAGTTGGGTTTACTAAATAAAATACATAATAAATAATTTAACATCCCAATCAAATCAACTTCTGTCTGGGTCGTTCTTATGTGTACGGTATACCTATTGATCTATCCTATCCATCTGAACCAAGGGGCAGTAAGGTCCAGGGAGCAT